GAGAGGGAGAGATGAAGCCCACAACCTGGGCATGTGCCCTTGACCAGAATTGAACCTAGGATCATGCAGTTCGTAGGTTGACGCTCTATGCACTGAGCCAAACCGGCTAGGGCTAGACCTACTTTTTTTTTTTTTTTTTTTCATAAATATATTTTATTGATTTTTTTTTCTTCAAATGGTTTTTTTTTTTTTATTGCTAAAAGTATTACAAAGGGTATTACATATGTGTCCTTTCCCCCTAGACCTACTTTTAATAAACTTTTTACTTCTGGAAGATTTTATATTTATACAAAAGTCAAAAGATACTACTACAGAGAGTTCACATATACCTTCATTCAAATTCCTGCTATCTGAACATCTTATATAACCATGATATATTTATGAAATTGAGAAATTAACATTGGTATAATACGCAACCAAACTATAGATCCTACTCAGATTTGACAAGTTTTTCTTCTGCCATTTTTTTCTTGTCCCAAGATTCAACCACAAATACAATAGTTTTCAGACATCATGTTTCCTACATTTTCTCTGTTCTGTGACCATTTCTTGGTATTTTTCTTTTTTATATCCTCAATTTTTTTGAGGAGTACTAATCAGGTATTTTGTATACTAACCAATCTTTAAGTTGGAATGAAAGAATTGCAAAAGTTAATTACATAATGAAATAGGCATAGAACACTTTTATGTTGCGTATATTAAAATTTGATCCATAAAGAGAGTAACTGCCACTATTTAAAGCTTAACTCAATGGCAAGGCAACTAGAAATATGGTGAAGGTATCCTGTCCCCAACTGCCTGTGAGGTGTACTATCTGCTAAGACTTGTGACACAATGCTTTTTCATTCAAGCCTTCTTTCCTTCATTACATTACCTAAGCTTTTGCTAAAGACAACTAAATTGAATGTGTTCATGTGATATTTCAGCAAGGATTTGCTGGCAAATGATGAGGTAACATAAATTACTGTAAATGATGCCATATGCATTGCAAGACAAAACTGTTTTCTAGTGTGAACTGACATCTACTGAAGTTTTACTTTTGGACAGATGCTTTCCCATAATTAGAAATATTTATTAATTCATAACCTCTGATGATTACATATGATAGGGTTTACTTACCACAAAAGGATTTCCCAATTTGTTACATTCATGGGATTTGTCTCAATAAACACTCTTTAGATATATAATGTCCTAAAATATTTTCACCAAGGCTGATTGTATCTGAGTTATTTTGTAATTTTTTATCAAGAGATAATGACATAATTGATCAGTAAACACAGTACCAGGTTCTTTGCATTAAGTCATTTTCATTGCATACTATCTTCTTGAGGGCCTAGAACTCAAAAAGGGATTTCCCCAAAGCAACTATCTGTAAATTCTCTTGTTTAACAAGGATTGACAAGTGGGCAAAATCTTTCCCATAATTGCTGCACCCATTCGACTTCTCTCCTCATTGAGTCCTGAATTTATCATGAAGGCTTCCCTACATTCATTACATAGGGTTTCTCTTCATGGTGAAGCCTTTTCCACATACACTACAAAGGGTTTCTCTCCTGTATGTTTTCGCTGATGTCTGATTAGATTAAACTTCTCTGTGAAGCCCTTCCCACATTCACTACATATATAAGGTTTCTCTCCTGTATGAATCCGTTGATGTGCAATCTGCTTGCTTTTTGCTGGGAAGCCTTTTCCACATACATTGCACAAGTAGGGTTTCTCTCCTGTGTGAATTCCCTGATGTACAATAAGACGACTCTTCACAGCAAAGCCTTTCCCACATTCACTGCACATATACGGTTTCTCTGAAGTGTGACTTAGCTGATGCACAGTGAGATTAGTCTTCATGGTAAAGCCTTTTCCACATTCACTACAAACAAACGGTTTCTCTGTTGTATGTGTTCGCAGATGTCTGATGAGATGACTGTGCGCTTTGAAACCTTTCCCACATTCACTGCATACATAAGGTCTCTCTCCCGTATGAGTTCGTTGATGTAAAATGAGCTGCATCTTTCCTGGGAAGCCTTTTCCACATTCACTGCATACATAGGGCTTCTCTCCTGTGTGAGTTCGCTGATGTACAATCAGATAACTCTTCCCAGTGAAGCCTTTCCCACATTGATTGCAGATAAATGGTTTCTCTAAAGTATGAGTTCGCTGATGAACAGTGAGATTGCTCTTTATGGTGAAGCCTTTTCCACATACACTACACACATATTGCTTCTCCCCTGTATGCGTTCGCTGATGTTTGATGAGAAGACTCTTCCTGGTGAAGCCCTTTCCACACTCATTACATGTATAGGGTTTCTCTCCTGTATGAGTTCGCTGATGTGTGGTAAGACTATTCATCAAGGTGAAGCCTTTCCCACATTCATTGCATATAAATGGTTTCTCTCCAGTATGAGTTCGACGATGTGCAATAAGACGACACTTGACAATGAAGCCTTTACCACATTCATTGCATATATAAGGTTTCTCTCCTGTATGAGTTTTCTGATGTTTAGTGAGATAAGACTTTGTAGAAAAGAACTTCCCACATAGACTGCATCCATGGGGTTTCTCCCCTGTATGAGTTTGCTGATGATAAATGAGCTGCCAGTTTTTTATGAACACTTTCCCACATTCACTACAGGTATATGGTTTCTCCCCCAGGTGAGTTTTCTGATGTATATTGAACTGTGATTTCTTGAGGAAGGTTTTGTCACATTCAGTGCATTCATATTGTTTCAGTCTTGTATGAATTTTCTGATGTTTAGTGAGCTTGGATTTTCTGGCAAAGGCTTTCCCACACAGACTGCACCCATAAGGTTTCTCCCTAGTATGAACTCTCTGGTGATCAGTGAGCTGAGACCTCTTCATGAAGGTGTTCCCACATTCAGTGCACACATGGGGTTTCTCTATGTTGTGACTTCTCTGTTGCTTATTAACAGGTGAATCATTATTGATGTTTTTCATACTGACAGGCAATTTCATTTCAGTTTGTCCATTGTTAGCATGTAGAATGCATGTCCCATTGCCATTCAACTCAACAGAGTTAGTTAAGTGACAGCTTCTGTTTTGGTTTTCAAAATGTAAATTAGATTTTAAAGGTTTTTCATGCATGTCAAACATACCATGATTTTGCTTTAATAGGAAATGACCTTCACTCTGATGAAAAATATTTGCAAACATATTATATTCACAGCATAGTCCTAGATTCTTCTGAAGGCTTCGACTTTGCAAGTGACAATTCAGAGGATCAGCAACTTTCTTGAATTCTGGGAAAGAAGAGAACAGTAAATCATTCTGTAATCTCTCATAATCTTTGTTTGAAATAAAACTGTTCTTGCCTGGCCAGTGTGAATCAGTGGTTGAGCGTTGACCTATGAACCAGGAGGTCATGGTTTGTTTCTGGTCAGGGCACATGCCCTGGTTGCAGGCAGCCAATCAATGATTCTCTCTCATCATTGATGTTTTTTATCTATCTCTCCCTCTCCCTTCCTTTCAGAAATCAATAAAAGTATTTTTTAAAATAAGAAATAAAACTGTTCTTACAAAATGTCTTCATGTGCAGTAACTATTTATTTTAAAAATATATTTATTGATTTTTTTTTAACATTTTGTTTTAAATCTTCCCCTGAGGATATATATTATTATTATTGATTTGAGAGAGAGAGAGGAAGGAGAGAAAGAAACATTGATATGAGAAACATCTATAAGTTGCCTCTCATACATGCGCTGACCAGGGATAGAACCTGCAACCAAGGCATGTGCCCTGACCAGGAATTGAACACACAACATTTTGGTATAAGGACGACAGTCCAACCAAGTGAGCCTTCTGGCCAGGACTATTGATTTTTTTCTTTTATAGAGGAAGGGAGAGTGAGGGCGAGAGCAAGAGCAAAAGTGAGAGGGAGAGGGGGAAAGGGAGAGAGAGAGTGAGAGAGAGAGAGAGAGATTTATCGGTTGCCTCCTGTACACACCCTGACCAGGGACTAAACCTGCAAATTAGGTTTGTGCCCTGACCAAGAATAGAACCAGTGACCCTTGGGTATAGGGGATGACACTCCAACCAATTGAGCCACAGCACCCATTGCTGAAGTAACTATTTAGTGTCAATTCTATGTTTTGTAGAATAAGAGATATATTTTGTCTTCGTCTACAGTTCTTGACACTGAGCTTGTCAAACCTTTGTAATTTTTATAAAAATTTATTTATTTTTAAAAAAATTACTTATCCTAACTTCATACCAAACACTAATATCAAGTCTCTCTTTTAATTCTACAAAACACTTAACTGGAATCTGGAACTCAAACCAAACCCTGGACCAAAACATAATCATTGTACAAACACTACTATTCAAAGAAACTAAAATATTTCTCCAAATCATAACCACGACTGAAAGCAAAATATAACATCAGTTCTAATGTTCCCACAAATAATAACCCTAAACAAATTCTAACACATCGGGTGATTCTATGGCGCTAGGCTTAAAACTAACTCTAACACTATCTCTAGCTTTAACATCAAATTATAAAATGTTTCAACTCTAGAACTAACTCGAATTTAACTTCAACCAAGCCTATTTTCTACAATTAAGTTGACTCTAAATCTAAACCTTAAACTCAAATATAACAGTAAATTTTTCATATTTTAAGATACAGCAAATAACTTTGAACATAATAGATCTTATTATGCCCTGGCTGGTTTGGCTCTGTGGATAGAGCATTGGCCTGCAGACTGAAGAGTCCTAGGTTCAATTCCAGTTAAGGGCACATGCCTGGTTTGCAGGCTCCATCCCCAGTAGGGGGTGTGCAGAAGGCAGACAATCAATGATTCTCTCTTATCGTTGATGTTTCTATCTCTCTCCCTCTCCCTTCTTCTCTGAAATCAATAAAATATATCCTATATAATAAAAGCCTAATATGCTAAGTGTCCAGTTGTCCGTTCAAGCAATCAAAGTGTAATATGCTAATGATAT